AAGGTTCATTAAAAATTACGCAATTATTAGTAAGCCATTGACCCTACTATTAAAGAAAGGAGGATTTGTTTGGAACGAAGGAGCAGATGAAGCTTTTAAGGCTTTAAAGTTAGCCATGACCCAAGCTCCAGTTTTGGCGCTACCAGACTTCAATGTTCCATTTGTGGTTGAAGTGGATGCTAGTGGGCTAGGTGTCGGAGCAGTACTCTCACAACATAGCAGGCCCATCGCTTTTATGAGTCAAGCCTTAAGCCCAAAACACCTTGGATTGTCAACATATGAGAAGGAATTGATAGCACTTTTGCTAGCAGTAGAAAAATGGAGACACTACCTTCAGCCCAACCATTTTGTAATTAGGACTGATCATTTTAGTCTAAAATTCCTGAGAGATCAACGCATCACCACATCATTACAACACAAGGGAGTGGCGAAACTGATGGGGTTAAGCTACGAAATACATTACAGACAAGGGAAAGAAAATGTAGTAGCAGATGCGTTATCTCGAAGAGATGAGGAGACCAAAATGGATGGTCAGCTTGCTGATTGTTTGGGTCTAAGTATAACACAACCTAAATGGGTTCAAGATGTGTTAGATAGCTATATGGGGGATGATAAAGCCCAAGATTTAATCACTAAAATCAGTATTGACCCAAATGCTGTCCCAGATGTTTCCCTACAAATGGGTCTATTGAGGTTTCAAGGCAAAGTGTGGATAGGCAACCAACAAAACTTAAGGATCAAACTAGTCAATGATATGCATTCATCCGCATGGGGAGGGCACTCAGGTATTCATGCCACCTATCAAAGACTTAAATCAATTTTTTATTGGCCCAAGATGATCAATGATGTTAAGTCTGTGATTAGCGAAATATGTCAAAAAAACAAGGATGAAAGTGTGGCATATCCGGGATTGTTGCATCCTTTGCCAATTCCCAAGAGGGCTTGGGAACACATCTCAATGGACTTTATCGATGGTTTACCAAAGTCTCAAGGGAAAGAAGTCATACTAGTAGTGGTCGACCGATTCACTAAGTATGCTCATTTTATAGCTTTAAGCCACCCATACAATGTCTCCCAAATAGCTCAAGTGTTCCTAGATTGTGTGTGCAAACTACATGGAGTTCCCTGCTCAATTGTCTCGGACAGAGACCCCATTTTTGTGAGCTTATTTTGGCAGGAATTGTTCAAGAATATGCAGGTGCAACTAAAGCTGAGTTCAGCCTATCATCCCCAAACGGATGGACAGACGGAGAGGCTAAACCGCTGTTTGGAATCTTACCTAAGGTGCATGACAGGCCAAAAACCAAAAGATTGGAGCAAGTGGCTTTCTTTAGCCGAGTTTTGGTATAACACCAACTTTCAGTCCGCTATTGGGATGACACCATTTCAAGCCCTCTACGGATATGAACCTCCACAGCCCACATTTGAGTTAATTGCTCAGTCTAAGGTTGAAACAGTGGACAAATTACTAAAGCAAAGGCAAATAATGAGCAAACAATTGAAGGAAAATCTTAAGGCTCAAACGCGTATGAAACAATACGCGGGCAGCAAAAGAAGTGAAAGAGAATTTGAGATTGGGGATATAGTCTTTATCAAATTGCAACCTTACAGGCAATCATCCGTAGCTGTGCGGAAGAATTTGAAGTTAGCTTCAAAGTTCTTTGGCCCCTACCCTGTAATCAAAAAGATCAGCCCAGTGGCTTATGAGCTTCAACTCCAGACAATTCACGTATCCACCCTGTGTTTCACGTGTCCCAACTCAAGAAGAAGCTAGGACCCAAAGTTTTTCCAACAAACAACCCTCCCCTATGTACTCCAGATGGTCAATTGGTTGCTGAACCTTTAGCAATTGTTGATCGACGAATGGTGAAAAGAGGAAATCGAGCAGTGACCCAAGTGTTGGTACAATGGGCTAATCTAGCTCCAGAAGATGCAACTTGGGAAGATTACTCCTTTCTCGCTTCGCAATTTCCACAACCTTGATTAACAAGGTTCTCGAAGGAGAATGGGATGTAGCGGATCTAGTCCGCTGGGCTAAAGAAGAAGTGAAGGAAAGGGTCCAGTGGGTATTGGGCCTATTTGGAAGATCTGAAAATAGTTTTATTATTTTCATTTCAGTCCTTTTAGATTAAGTAGTCTTTTAAATTCCCTAAAGTTGTTGTTTCCTATAACAACACGTGTCTTATCCTAAGCAATTGTAACGTTAGAATAGTACCTAGTCTATCATATTTTAATTGGTGCAGTACATTAGCCACAGCTGGTGAAAACAGCTATATAGAGTCCTTAACAGTAGTGTAAAAGGCATCTTTTGGAATGAAAATCTTTCTTTAAATTTTCTGTCTTTTATTTCCTTAAACAATTCATCTTTCCAGTAGTTGTTACGCTACACAGATAGGCCCCCTCCCCTTCCGACAAAACAAAAAAAGTGGGGAAAATAACCGCCAAACCAAGGGAAAACAATGATAAACATAATCATGAAGGAACAAGAAAAGCTAAAACATGCATACTTTACACATTTAATACTCTATAGACCAACACACTGCAAGTAGAAGGGTTCAGAATATGATTCATCAATACAACAAAATTATTCACCTAAAGAGCTAGCTTTGAATTCAACTAATACATCTGCGTATCAAATTAAACCCAGACTATGGGGGAAAAGAAGCCTCTATTTTAGAAAACAATATTTTCTTAAGGTCATTGAACTCTTCAGTTTTAGTAAGAAACCAAGATTGCATTGGTATTCCAAGACTTGACATGACATTGTTGACAGCTCTTCTAAAATAAGTTGATGCCATTGTCAGTTTAGTCATTAAATAGAACCTAGACATTATGAGAAATCTCAGAGGCATGGTGTGGTAATAGGAATCGAGAATTGACATTACCATCAAATATCAATTCAGAAGAAATACAAGAAGATAGGAAAGTTATGGTTATGTCTGATTCTCAAACACAATGATAACACCTATCCCTCCGACAAAATGGCAAAGTTAACAAACAGAACTAAGGAAGATAAAAATGATATATCAAGGATCATAGTCAAAGTCATCAAAATAGCAGCAGTAAAGAAAGACAAACCTGAGTGTTTGTTCCACGGGGTTGAAATCCACATTTTTCCACCACAGATGACCGAACGATCTCTGGGGTAGTCAGAGGTGTAAAGCCTCGTTTCATGGCTTCTGAAACTGCCCAGTTTACAAGAGCCATCTCTAAAATAACTGCTTCATTCTTCAAGTAATAGAATTTGGACCCACTGACCTGAAAAACACATATTTAACTGATTCGTGAATGCAAACTAAGCTAACCTCTCCATCTCCTGAAAGTAAGAACTGATAGCAGGCCAATTTTCCTCTTCAGAGACAAACTTAATCATGCCTTCAATTTCTAGAAGCGAGTAATCTAACAATAACGGAAGTAGTGGAAGTCTATATGTACAACCAGCAAACAGAATCTACTACCAGTTTAGTATAGACTGCTTTAAAGCCAACAGTTGTGACACAAGGTGGAAAAACTAATACACCCTCTGTCCCATATAACATAACAGAGTTTGATCCTACACGGAGTTCAAGAAAAAAAGAAGGCTTTTGATAAATGAACTAAATATATGCAAAGTACCAAAAGTGCCCTTACTACTAACAATTAAATAAGAGGTGGTAAGAATCCACGTCTCTCTTCATCTTCTCTCTCATAACTAACAAGCAACTTTTGCATCAAGTAGGGTCCTAAAATTAATGCCAGTAAGGGTAGAATAGAGATGTTAAGACAATATAGTTTCCAAATCAAAAAAAATGTATCAATCTTTTTGGAACAAACTGAAAAGAGAAGTGCCTCATAAAATGAGACAAAGGAGTAGCAAGAAAGATATTTAGAAGAACATGGTTCAGTATTCCAGGGTAACATGGTGAGAAAGAGGTAGATTCTTTGAAAAACAAAATCGAAAGTTATTGATAATACACCACAGTTGCTAAGTTTGTTCTAGGGTTATCAATTAAATACCTTAGTTCAGAAAGGGTACCTCAGCAGCAGCGTCAAAATCAAACAAATCTAGCTCTTTTCCCAGCTGGACGTGGTCTTTAACAGCAAAGCTAAACTCTGCAGGTTTACCAACCTATGAAAGATGAGGAAGAAAAATTGAGGCTCATGCAGAGCAATACGAGACCAATATGTGATATGTCTGCATATATCAAACCAGAATACCATTTTCCTGACTGTTGAAGAATCTTCCCCTCCAAGTGGAACATCTGGATGTGTCATATTAGGTACCGATTGTGCTTCTTGCTGCAGCTCATCTGTAAGTTTGAGCAAGTCTTCTTCCAAAGTCACAAGTGCTTCCTTCAAATTCTTTCCTGAACAAAATACAATATACACAATCAATATTCCTGCCACCTAAAGCTTCCAGTTAGAAATAAAATAAGAAACTCACCTTCTTCTATGAGCTTCTCGCGCTCTGAAGGTTCCAGCTTTCCTTTCATCTTGTTAGCAACTACATTTCTCTCAGCTCGTAGCCTTTCCACTTCCTGCTATCTGTGAGTAACAATTAGCTAAAATTGAGAAGAAACCAGCCCCATAGAACTCATCCGAGCATTTGAATGTATTACTTATATGATTCAATCAAAGCTCTAGCCTCTAAGAATGCAACACAAAGCACTAAAAAACTTTGTCGTAATCAAGACAATGCTAGTTTGCAGAAATTCAGCTGCTTTTGTCATGCATCAATTATACTTCACAAATTTGGCGCCGTCAATTGTAAGGTCTGCGTACAACCCCACGGTGTGGGATAACACTGGGTATGTTGTTGTTGTTGTTGCAAAAGAGAGGCCAAGATGACAAAAGGAGGAAATATCTATAGACGGGACCATATCTGGTATATAATTGCAATTTACAACATCTTTCTTAGATATATAATAAGTTAATATATGATTGCGATTTATAGAATCACGCAGCACATATTTGTTTTACGTTCACCTCCATTGATCAATTAACAAGCACCTTATATCTATTTCTGCAATCAATTTGGCCAAACGTAACAATTGCTAATGAAAAACTTCTTTCAAATATACAGTTGGAAATGGGGGAAGCTGGAACAGTCCCAGAAACAAACACAAGAAAACGGGAGAGAAACATCAAAGAGGAAGAGAAAATGCACATATTCCTCATCAAGAATTTCCAAATTTTCCACATTACAGGGTCACAGACAGGTCTTTTTCAGAAAAACATTTTCCAAATAATTCCATTATAGAGTGTAAGTGTGTGTGCGTGTGTAAATTGTTAAATGCTTGTGAAGATCATACAACAATGCAGTAGCTAATGCTCAGAATTCTTTAGCTAAAAGATAGACTTTTGTTACATTTTCAAGTTAACTAATTGTATTAGCAGTAATAATAGACATATTATTATAAATAGAAAGCTTGAGATTTTATAGCCAAAAGAGTGAACAAGTTGAGATAGAAAATTGACCTTCTGAACATTGAGCAACTTGTCATAGAGCTCCAGCACAAGCTCCAGATTAGCACAGGATTTCCTATTCTCAATGTTAGCAGCAACTGCCTCCTTATTATCCCTTATCCACTTGAAATCTATTGCTGCTTTCCATTGAGGCTTCACCACTACAATTACCACCACAATTACTTTTACCACAAATGATAAATAAATAAAGTTTCCGAGCATCACTAAGCTGACCTTTACTATCGTCTGTGGCGGAGGTGACGGCTGCGCCGGCAGTTTGGACGGCGGAGGCAGAAAGGGGTCTAACGACGAGAGGGAGCAGAGGCCTTGGATAGTAAGGCGCTAGACGAAATGTCAGGGTTTTGGAAAAAGTTTTGGAGAAAGTTTTGAGGGAATGGAAGGAAGTTGCGGTGCGGCAGCAATGGAGTAGTACCATAGCTCTCCCCCTTTCTGCTTCTTTTCGTCGTGTCGCTGTGCTTTGGAGGCGAAAGGTGTGACTGGTTTTCTTTCGCTAACTTTATCCCCTTCTTTTAACAAAATGACAAAAATAATCCTTATGTTTGAGCAGGTTTAACATTGTATCTTAAATATATTTCATATTATTAGGAACTTAGCTCAAAGTAATAATATAAAACAAGAAAATAGACAAGAATGTAGGAAGCAAGAGAGGAGAGATTCTTATTTCTTCCATGTATTCAAGTGTGTACAATGTGATGCCCAAACCCTCTATTTATAGGATGATATAGGTAATACAAAGGGATGCCATGAACATGGTATTAACTATTGAGAACATGGGGAAGATCATGGAGGTGTGGGAGTTACATCCATAATGGTAAGAAGTAGTGGGAGGTTAATGGAGAAGAGTAGTGGGTGTTACTCCCTTAGGAGGTATGGACATCCACCATAATTAAGTATTTCACACTCCCCCTTGGATGTCCAAAGATAATGTGCCTCGTTAAAACCTTACTAAGAAAAAATCCTGTGGGAAAAAATCTTAGTGAAGGAAAAAGAGTACACATATCTTGTAATACGCATTACTTGCTACCTCATTAAAAACCTTACCAGGAAAACACAGTGGGATAAAACCTTAGCTAAGGAAAAAAGAGTACAACGCATATATGCCTCCCCCTGATGAAAACATCACTTTATCTCTCGGAAACGACAAATTCCAAGCTTGTATAACAACTTCTCTAATCTTGAGATCAGCAATGCATTGATGAATTATTCCGCCAAATTATCACTTGAACGAATTTCTTGAACATCTATTTCATCATTATCTTGAAGAACGTCTTTGCAAAGAAACTTTGGCTAAATGTGCTTTGTCTTCTTCAGTATATCGTTTGTTCAATTGAGTTATGCAAGTAGCACTGTCTTCAATATTATTGGAATCGTCTCTTCAAAGAAAAGTCACACGTCCTCACATGGAAATAGATTGTTTGAACAACGAACTATGCCCTGCATTTGTATAACCAACAAAACCTTGACAATATTTGTTAGAATAAACAAATCAATATCAAGGATTCCTTTTGTAGTATAATACTAATCATATTTCAATATCTCCATATGGCCTTTATACTTTCAGCTGTTGGGACTATCCGTTCAACTTCATATTTTTCAGATGAAGTCAATTTTCATTGCATATTTTTCATTTGACCAATCATTTATCTGTCCAAATTTCATGACAGATTTGAGCTCAAGATCCTCGTCAATATTAATAACATTGAGCGCTACATTATATTAACAACATCATCGACGATCATTTTACATCGGTTCCATCATCAATCAATAAAGACATACCTTATCGAGATCTCATTATTTTCAGGTACCTGAGCCTCTCCCGTGAGATCTTACAAAGTGTTATGTCATGGTGCTCTTATAAAACACCTGCCTCCTTATTATGACCATCTTGAACATTTGCTCCTCTCCTTCTTCAAGGAGTTTTATCTTTGGAACCGATTAGTCTATTACACTTCATGCGTTTCATAGACTATGTCCATCATGGACTTTATTCTATTTGGAGCATTAACAGCTGAAATATGACATTTAGCTTTGGGTCAGCAAATGCGTTTGGCAATATTTTGGAAATGAATTATCACTTGAACTTCAAGTTCACATTTTCTTGTACGAGGATCTAGGTATACTCATAATAATTCATTCCATGTATTATTTTTTTTCAGCTGCTCATTTTTCCCCCCTAATGTTGGGATCACCAACACAATTCCCAACTTTCTTTGGGAACCTATCTTTATGCATTGTGGTGGGATAATTATATCATATCGCACATCCATATTTCTATATAGAAATTATTTGGTTCCTGACCCTGAACCAATTGTGATAGGGAGAATTTATCATAACTTGTTGGCTAGATGCGTACAAGTGCTATTGTATATTAAATAATATACCTCATACTAAATTTCGATTTGGGAGTTTTATTCTCATAATCAATGGTTTAGCTTAATTGGAGGCATACCATTTCTGCTAAACCAACTTTGATTTAAACCAGCATTATCAAAATAAATTATCATAATTTATATTCTGGAACTGTGCTCAAGTAACTTGAGTAAACAACCTTGCAAAAACCAAAGTACAAGTTGATAACAAACGCACATGTGACCATACAATAGATGCATCTATTAAAATCATATAATAGTAAACGGTCCACATGGCAGGTGATTGAGCCCATACATATATATCACCTTTTATTCGTTCCAGATATCAAGGGATTCAATCGCAACCTTAACTGGTATATCATGAGAAAAAAACAGCACAAGAGAATTCTTGAAGAATCTTCTATTTCTTTAATATATATGCCAATGTGAATTCTCAATCAATTTTCACATCATAATTGAACCGGAATGGTCAACCGGTCATGCCAACTAATATTTGTTTCAATAAACCTCTAGTTTACTTATGGCATGTGATTCTATCATCATACTTATACATCTGTAGTACAAATAGAAGAAAAATCGAGTAACCTTTCATATTTACCAGGTATGTTATAGTAATATGAAGATAATCAATCTTCCTTTCATTTATAGTCTCAATATGCCAACCACTTTGGCTAATACATTGAAACTCAAAATGTTTCTTTTGAGACTTACTACCACCAATGCCATGAATAATTTTATTTATTCGGGTAGTAACAAATTTGCTCTTCTGGAGCTCTCAATAATTTTGCACTACAAGATCTTTTATAACACCATCCAAGTGGTGAATTTTTCCTCCATAGAGAAAATTATCTTATCGTAATAATTGTCATGGTCAAAATCATCATAAGCAAAATCTTTTCTTGCTTTAATTTTGCCTTTAATAACTTTTTATAAGGCATGTCAAATTATTTTTGGCGTACCACATGTACGCGACCAATGACATATTCATGTAATCACATAGTAATATTCATTATCTCTCTTTCTCTCAAACCTCCCTTAGAGGTGAGTTGTGGTGTATATCCAATCATGCATTGCACGTCTTTATTCATTACTTTTATCACATATCGTTACATTCACCTTCAGGAATGAATCTGCATTCGCAATTCACAAGTTACATTCTCTTCAAAGAATGGAGTATAATTATCGCGACGTGCTTTATAAATTTTTCATACCAATTTGATGGTAAATATTTCCTTCACCTATTGAAGGATTACTTCGAGAACCCTTATTGTTCTCCTTTTACAGTTACCATAGTGATGACAACTATTATTTTGTCGCTTGCCATGCCCTCGGACATGCATACAGTCATGAAAAATTATTTTCATTAGTCATCATTAGATCATCAATATGGTGCATTGAGACTCAAACCCAATGCCTTACCTCATATAAAGCATGCTAGGCCATAATAAGTTTGGACTCAAATCCAACTCTTATTAGCATAGTGCATCAGGACTTGAACCCGATATCTTACCCTTATAGTACGCTGGGACTTGAACCCACCGTCTTACCCTCAATTAATAGCATAATAAACCAAAGTATACTGGGACTCGCCCTCGAGTATTTAAAAGTGTTACATCACTTTAGGCAACCATGCATACTATATAACTCTGTCATGGTTCAAGTATACTTTCTTATGCAAAACATTCAATTTAAAGAACTATTGCATGATAATCCTAGGTACTAATAAGTAGCAGCAGCCAAGTGTTAAGAAATTATCGTAATTCATTGACAAGCAAATCTTATAAGCGTTCACTGTCAGCTACCGCTTATCATTTCTTATTCTTACATCTCTAAATTAAATGTGTCTTAAATGGTGTGACGAAAGCATGTGGACATTCATAAAATATCATAACAATGAAGGAATTTTTCAACTGTTTTAGGCAAACTCACAAATTAATTTGGAAACGGTAATCCATACACATTATAACCCCATAAAATACGATTAAAAGTACTATCATATCCTTTCATCTTTATTAATATAATATCAACCAATAATAAAACATTAGAAAGAGCTATTATCAAACCAAAATCATGGGTTCATTTGGTTATAAGAGCACGTAATCGTATAAATTTTTTTTCTTTAGTATTGGACAGTGAGGTAAGCACAAAGAGAAAATGACAAATATCAAACATTCAGTAAATTACCTAATAGCTTGGTAGGTTTCTATTATATTACATAATTGTCATCCTTATTTGTACGTTAAAAAAAAGAGCATGATTAGCATAAATGAGGAATGGGTAAAATCAAAAGAAGTAGATTCCATCTACACAAACACACGTTGATGTACCTATTAGCATACCTGATTTTGAACTTATACTCATTCTTTCGTAATTCGTGCTGATAGCGTATTACAAACTTAGCTCAAAGTAATAATATAAAACAAGAAAATAAACAAGAATGTAGGGAGCAAGAGAGGAGAGATTCTTATTTCTTCCATGTATTCAAGTGTGTACAATGTGATGCCCAAACCCTCTATTTATAGGATGATATAGGTAATACAAAGGGATGCCATGAACATGGTATTAACTATTGAGAACATGGAGGAAGATCATGGAGGTGTGGGAGTTACATCCATAATGGTAAGAAGTAGTGGGAGGTTAATGGAGAAGAGTAGTGGGTGTTACTCCCTTAGGAGTTATGGACATCCACCATAATTAAGTATTTCATAACACATATCAGTTTTTTTTTGGTCAAACAATAAAAATTTTATTCAACCAAGTATAATATATACATCCACTAGTTCCTTTTTACTCTAGAACTAGTCCTAAACTTTACGCTAATTACAATTACTCCTCCCCTCCATATATCTACTACACTGCTAGTCTATACTAGACTTGGGTATGCGTTTAATCTATCAAGTAATCTTTTTCAATTGCTTCTAAGTTGTCCTTTCCTATGTACTTGAATGGTAGTCTCTCTTAGTCTTGATACACATTCCTGCTGCTGTTCTTGAAATCTTCTAGCATTGCGTTTATTCCAAACGTGGTAAACAGTAGCAGCTAATAGCCATCCTAGCACCTCTGCATGTGCTCTGCTGTTACATTGTTTGGTCGTTAATATCTCAATCTCCTCTTCCCAGGTCCCTACTTGCCTGTTT